TTGTCCCAGATGTGAGTTCCTGAACTATTGACTAACAGCAGAAAAAACAAATTAGATCATCATAGACTAATGACTGAAGGAATATACCTAGATTAAAATATATGAAAAGACTATTTCTACACTGAAGGAAAAACATAAATCACACGACAGGTACTATTGTAAAGCAAGAGTCTATTCATAAAAATGCTGCTATCTACAAGGGAAAGGAGCAACAGGTGGTAGACTTGAAAATAAGTGAGAATAAGCCTGCCTCCAAAACTTTCCAATCACTGTTTCACAACCATAAATTTGGTGATAAAGGAAAGACAGGGCTTCCCAGGTGGCTCAGTGATAAGGAATCTGCAGGTCAATGCAAGAGACATGGGTTCAGTCCCTGGGTGGGCAAGATCCCCTGGAGAAGGAGATGGCAACTCACTCTAGTATCCTTGCCTGGGAGATCCCCTGGACAGAGGAGCCTGGAGGGCTACAGTCATAGGGTCATCCAACACTTCTTAGCACTGAGGATGAGGCAACTAAGCCCTTTACCCACATCAACTCAATTAATCTTCAAAACACCTAATCAGGTTGGGTACTCTGGCGTTTCCATTTACATATAAAGAAAAGGAGTCACCAAAACATTAAGGAATTCGGAGTAATTACTGGTGAATGAGTAAGCATTGTTAAACTAGGCAATTTAAAATGATTCACAATACAAGCGAGGAATGATATAGATAATCCAATCTGAAATAAAAACGTACATGTACATCAGGGAATGACCACTATTTTACAAAGGATTCATAACTGGATTCTTTAAAACAGTCCTCTAGTCTCAGGTGGCACGAGTGGTGGTAAAGAAACCGCCTGCAAAGGCGGGAGATGGAAGAGACGCAGGTTGGATCTCGAGTAGGCAGATCCCCCTTCAGTATTTATGCCTGGAGAATCCCATGGACAATGGAGCCTGGCAGGCTACGGTCCACAGGGTCACAAAGTCAGACACAACTGCAGCCAACTTAGCGCACACACGTGCTAGCCAAATTAAAATAATTTAGGAATTTGCCAAAAATATTTTGCTCCAAAATTTTAAAGAACATATCCTCTGATCAAAATAAACCAAAGAAGCAAGAGTCTTTTTCAGCATTTTACAAGGAATATTTTGGGCTAATAGACTTTTAGAATCTCATCTGAAGAGCTTCAGATTGGTTTAGGTCTTACAAGTACCACAGCATAATAATCAAGCAGGAACCAGGGCAGCTGCCTGGATTTGAGATTGCTTTCATTATTTTCTAGACAGTGTTCCTGAGCACGTTACTTGACCAGACAGTGCCTTAATTCTTCCATGTGTGAAAAGAAGATATATATTAGTACCTATATCAAAGGGATGTAGTGTGGACTAGATAATAGGAATACAAACCTCAGAACAGTGTCCGCATATGGTAAGCACTATTTAAGTGTTGTTACTAAAAGAAAAAAAAACCAAAACAGATTCAAAAATTGTAACCTGTCCAAAGCCCACACTTTAGGTAACTAGAGCTGGCTAAAACCAGAACTCCTAATTCTAGTTTCCTAGCTAAACGCTCTTGCATTTTCCCTTCCCAAAACACACAATCATCATGTTATTCCCCTTTCTAACAAACTTTAAAAAGCAACGAAACCCTTCAAAACAACTGGCAATGCTACCGAGCACTAGGATAATACGATGACTTGCAACCGTTCCATCATAAAGATTCACGTTTCTAACCTACTTGAAATTGTTTTAAATAAATTCTCGAGAACAATTACTACTAGTTACTTCTGTCATAATTATGGCTTAGAAAGGCCTAAAAACTGTGGCTTTAGAAAGGTCTAGAGGTGGCTATGATAAGTTGATAAAAAATAATTTCATTTATTGTCTCCAAGCCAATTATCGAATATTACAACACAGATAAACGGATCGAAACTGTTGGAGGAGAGGAATTTCTTTCATTCGACTCAGTCCAATACAATGGAACAGGAAATAGCTGACGCTCTATGAGAACAGGCAGCAGCTGCGGAGGGGGAACGTCAGCTCCTGGAAGGAATCAGTCCTCCAGAAATCGGTCTGGAGACAAAAGAGAGCGGGACAGACCGAGTCAAAGGTAAGGACCGAGAGACAGGAGCGAGGAAGAGCGAAAGGGGGGGACGATAATAAAAAGTGATACCGACAGTTCAGGCCAGAGAGCGGATCCGGAGTAAGAGGAGGAAGGAGCGGGTGGACGCGGGCGCAGGGCAGGCAAAGGGCGAGGTGGGCGGGAGGCAGACGCGCGGGGCTGGGGGCTGGTGTACCGTGAGCGCAAGAGAACCGCGCTGCGCACCGAGGCGGCCGCCCACGCCGCCCCGATTCCCCCCACCCCCCACCGGCCACTACCTGGCCCGGCTCACCGGCGACGATCAAGTCTCAGGGGCAGTGTACACGCTTCCGGAAGGAGGGTCGCGGGGACGCGCCGAGCCAATGGTACCGCAGGAGGGGCCGACAAAGGCGCGCCTGCGTCAGCCTGACTGCGCGCCAGACGTAATGGGTCGCCTGCCGGGGGCGTGGACGACTTCCGGCGCGGCTGCAGCCGTCACTCGAGTCTGTAGGCGAGGTAGAAGCACTCGCTTTCCCAGGTGCTCCGTCGCCGAGCGACACCCGCAACGCTGGGCCCGGAGGATGGCGCCTTTGCGAGCGGCTCACCACCTGTATGGAAGCTTGCTTCATAGTGACGGCTAGGATGTTTTCTAATGCAGCTGTGGCTGAGCTCCTCATCCTGTTTAGTCGCTAGGTCTCCGACTTTTTGCGACCCAATGGACAGTAGCCGGCCAGTATCCTGTCCGTAGGATTTCCCGGCCAAGAATTCCGGAGTGGGTTGCCATTTCCTTCCCCATTTTAAGACCCACTACAAGGGTCTTAAATTCCAGAGCACGGAAAATTAACATTCAAGTCGATTTCGAGAGGGATTTACCTTACGAAAAATGGCCGTACCATTTCACTCCCGCTGGGACGGCTGCTATCAGCTTGTCTTTGATTGCTCCTGGGCTTCCCTGGAAGCTCAGCTGGTAAAGAATCTGCCCCCATTGCGGGAAACCTGGGTTTGATCCCTGGATTGGGAAGATCCCCTGGAGAAGGGAACGGCTACCCACTCCAGTGTTCTGGCCTGGAGAATTCCATGGACTGTAGTCTGTGGGGTCGCAGAGTCGGACACGACTGAGCAACTTGCACTGATCCTACATCGTGGTAGCTCAGACAGTAAAGAACCTGCCTGCAACGCAGGAGACCAGGCTTTGATCCCTGGGTTGGAAAGTTCCTCTGGAGAAGGGAATGGCAATCCACTCCAGTATTCTTGCCTGGAGAATTCCATGGACAAAAGCCTGACAAGCTACAGTCCGTGGGGTCACAGTCAGACACGACTGGGCAGCTCACACACATATTGCAGGTGGCACAGTAAATGCTACTGCTTTAGGAGTCCTACAGGTCCTCCGTTCACTAAATTCAATCCCTGGGTCGGAATATCCCCTGGAGGAAACCCATTCCAGTATTCTCGCTGGGATAATCCAATGGACAGAGGAGCCTGGCAGGCTAGTCCCTGAGGTTGTATAGAGGAGGACACCAATGAAGCTAACACCTCACGCCAGAACAAAAACCCTGAAAAAAAAACATGCTAAGTCAAAGCATTGTGATTTAGATGAAAAGTCCAGAACAGGCAAATCAACCTAAGTATAAGCTCAGGGCCGGATTGGGTTAGGAGGTGACAGTCAACCACTGCTAAGGTTCCTCTTTGGGATATTGAAAAGCTTCTAAAACCCCACTTATGGATGCATAACTGAATACAGTAAATGCTACTTCAGTAGCAGACTTAGCGTGCTTTAAGTTATGGAAAAGAGTCAGAAATTTTCCCATGTTCTCAATTCCGTTTTATACGAAGTACCAAAAGATGCAAAACAGCCTGTTAAAACTCATTTGATCCATTTAGTGGTTAACACTTGAAATGTATTTACTAATTAAGACAACCAACACTTTTACTTTTATTTGCATTTATTTTCTGCGGCATTTATTCCCGGGCCATAAGTTTTTGTTTTTTCAGTTTCTTCTGGGATATCTGGGAAAAAGAAAAAATAAAAGCACTATTAGAAGAACGATTCCAAGAGAAACACACATCTTAAAGAGAAAGTTGTATCTCAATGAAGGTAATCGGAAATTTCATCATAAAGAGTCCTTTGGCACAGAGAAGTGGCATCGAGAGAAAGGCAGCCAGGAGGAAATTAGAGCTTTAAGAAGAGAACGAAGACTACAGGCTGGCAGCCCAGCTGGAAAGAACCAAGTGGCAAAAAAGGATGAAGGATAATATGAGAAAATCAACAGAAGACAGATCCATTAGGATTTGAGTCACCCCCAGGTTCCAGGCTAAAGAACTAAACATAATCATTTATATTTCTTGGAGAAAGGGGCTGCAGGGAGGAGATGCCCTGTTCCAGATAAATTACATCTGAAGTGGTCATGGCCATCTAGGTGTGGACATCAGCATATAATCACACAGTTTTAACACACTGAACAATATGAAATTCTCACTTGCTGTTAAGAAACTAATGAGGATAAGAAAGCTGTGGTGCATATACACAATGGAATATTACTCAGCTATTATATTTGAGACAGCAAAAGAGACACAGATGTAAAGAACAGACTTTTGGACTCTGGGAGAAGGCGAGGGTGGGGTGATTTGAGAGAATAGCACTGAAACACATATATTATCATATGTGAAATAGATCGCCAGTGCAGGTTCAATGCATGAGACAGGGTGCTCAGGGCTGGTGCACTGGGATGACCTCGAGGGATGGGATGGGGAGGGAGGGTCAGGATGGGGAACATATGTACACCCATGGCTGATTCATGTGAATGTATGGCAAAAAACCACAACAATGTAAAGTAATTAACCTCCAATTAAAATAAAGTAAAAATCTCCCGAGATTAAAAAAAAACTAATGAGACTTATGAAAGCCAAAATAAAATGATTATAAGAGGTTGGTGGTTGCTCAGAATAGCTTCCTTTCATGGTTATTCCAAAGGTGTCCTAAGTTAGTCATCACAGCAACCGCAATCTAATACACCAAGTGAAACAGAGCAGAGACCAAGTAATTTACCTTTTTCTTCTGTGCAACCTCCTCTTCTGGTTTAGGAACAATCTGTTCTTTTTCAGTAAGGATCATCTCAATGTGGCAGGGAGAGCTCATGTAGGGGTTGATCCGACCGTGAGCTCTGTAAGTCCTGCGCCGCATCTTGGGGGCTTTGTTCACTTGGATGTGCTCAATGACCAGAGAATCTACATCTAAGCCCTGGGAAAAGGGAGCAAAATCATGTAACATTTAAAAAAAATTTTAAATCAGGTAACACCTTTATCTTAACACCACAAACTGTATCACTCAAGTCCTTTTGACTTTAAATAGCATATATATATTTTTTTAATTTCATTCTAAGTTCCCTCCCTTAAATCTAAGTAATTACCAAAATTCAGTGCTGGTAATTGCCCCTATTTTATAAGTGGTATTCATTAGGGAGCAGAGTTACAAGAATATCAAAGGATCTATGTCTAAGCTTGATTTTGACAGCTGCTACAGCTAAACAGACCTACATTAATTCCAGTTCTAACCCACTTTTCCAAATGCAAAAAGGTAAAGGATAACTGCTCAAATGGATAAATTTGTTTAGTTGGCACAGGATTTGTTCAGTTACACACTGCTGTTTTGACCTCTGAAATTTAACATCTCTCCATTATGAATGTAGGCAACAAACCACAGGCCAATCATGATTCCTTTCTAACTGTATTTATTTTTATTTAAATATACCCTGTGAAGGGGTTCACAAACCTCAATATGAAAAAGGCTTCCCTGGTGGCTCAGATGGTAAAGCATCTGCCTACAATGCAGGAAACCTGGTTTAATCCCACTCCAGTATTCTTGCATGGAGAATTCCATGGACAGATGATCCTAGCAGGCTACAGTCCACGGGGCCGCAGAGTTAGACACACTACTGAGCACTAACATTTACAGCACAAGATTACAAACCCTTGGTAAAATACTCAAAAAAAAAAAAAAAAACACATTTCTCTTGCATGTACTGGCATTATGTCTGTGTGTGTGTGTGTGTGGGGGGGTAATTCTAGAGTCTTAGGCTTGAAATTACTGCAGACCATGCTCCTGAAATGCTTTATAAACAAAAATTTTTTCCTGTTGGAAATTGAAAGTAGAGATTTAAAAGAACCTCTTTAATGGGAACTCTTGCTACTTTCATCAAGTCAATCAAAGAAAAAGCACGTCAACCAAGGAAATAGATCCAGACAACAACTGTAACTGAGTTAACAATCCAAGTTGCATGTATAAAGATACTTATAGTGTGGGTACCTTAAGTTCAGCATTACTCTCTGCATTTTTGAGCATATGTAGTAAAAATTCAGCGCTCTTTTTGGGCCACCGACCCTGCGTCCAGCCCCACTGTTTGGCCTAAAAAACAAAACCAGAGTTTATTAGTAATTTGCCTCAATTTAAATCAATGTTACAAGATGAAATTTACTTCAAGCTACATCAAGGTTGTTCAGAACATTTTTTTTTTTAATGGTTAATCCAAAGGTGTCCCAAAGATTGTTATCACAGCAACCATAAGGAGCCTCAGTAAAGGAAGACATTGGCCATTTTTACTTCTACTCCCTTCCCTAACAAATTGCCTTTTAAATGACAACTATGAATTCTTACCTGTGCACACCTACCAACTCCACCATTGTAACGACGGAATGGCACACATTGCTTCTTTAAAGTGACATCCTTCAGATACTTGGTGGCTTTTCGGATATGCATACCCTTTATGGCCTGGGCAGTCTCACGAGTGTTCTAAACATAATAACATAAGATGTCAGATTTAAACAAATTCCAGTATTTTCAACGTGTCAACCTTTATCAAGAGCCAAATCCCTTCCATTCTTGAAACATATACAAAATCTGTTATGAACCAGGGAGAGTTGGTTTGAAGGTAGAGGAATGTGAATCCTAAACATGTTTATTCACTGTTAATATTTCTCCATTATCTTGTAAACTACAATTACGTTTCCCATAACTTGATCTGTGCACTAGGTTCTCAAGCAGTTCTCTGGTAATTTTACCCAATTCCACAAATCCTAAATCAAAGTGTTCACTAAAAGGTGGCTGCTCAGAAATGATTTATTTTCATGGTGAATCCAAAGGTGTCCTAAGAAACACATCATCGCAGCTACCTTTTTAGAATGGTTAAAAAATACTCAAGGAACAACTCTTTCAGGACATAACTACGATTCACCTACCTTAAAGTGAACACGAAGATTTGAACCTCTTGATTTGCATGCTAAAAAATACCGGGAAAAAAAAAAAAAAAAAGGTTAATCTTGGTATCTGGGTGCCTCATACTCCAAAATAAGAAATGTTGCTTGCTCACTTACATTTTGTGGGGTTTTCTGGGTCGAGTGAATAGCGCACCATTTTCAAGGGTCAGCTGGAAGCAAGAATAACTGTCAACATATATTTACAGCAACTCACAGTTTAATATGTATGTACTATAAACTCTGTCCACAGCTGCTCAGAGAGTAGTTGTTTTCATGATTAATCCAAAGGTGTCCTAAGAAATGCATCATCGCAGCCATCCTCTCAATCCAGTTTCATCTCATCTACAACTACCAGTTGCCTACAGCAGCGTTGACACTGCTAAAACTAGTGACACGGATGCCCTTCCCTTAACCCTCTGGAAGAAAACACAGCTTGTTTCCATCCAAATCTGGATCCAAGTATCCGTGCCGAGGAGCCCAGCGTCCTGCTCAGCATCAGATCCTTCAGGTCAAAGTTAACTCGACCCAACGACATGCTCCCTCTACAGAAACCTCCTTTACTCACAGATTCACAAGAAAGCCAAGCTTTCCACACACTTTAGGGTATTACTCGCGTTAAGCGCAGCTCAACTCACGTTCAGCCACTGAGTAAACCTGGCCCCGACTTGACCTCATTCCCCTCCCCCAAAACTTTCTTTCCATTCGGCCCCAAATGCGCTGCGTTCGCGGCCCCCACTCACCGCGAGACACTGGCCCTCAGGAGTCGGCACCGACCACAGCCGGCTTCTAACCTCGTCACCCCCATTCTCGCCCATTGAGCCCCTTTGCGGCCTGTAGAGGCCCCGCAGCAGAGGGGCGCCGAGCCGGGGCCTCCGACAAATCCCCGCGCACAGGACTGCTCCACCAGGGAGGATTAGAGTCCTCCTCCTGAGGGTCTCGAAATCGGCGCCGAGAAAGCCAGGATGGCAGGGATTACCAGAAGATTCATCACTAGACAAAGATGCCGAAGAAACACACTCACCTCAGGCCGCTTACCGGAAAAGGAAGAGCGGGGGCTCATGGGAGAATTCATGAGAGCTCGACATCTCGCGAGAGTCCCAGCCTAAAGAAACGAGATTTGTAGAGGTGGGGGAAGGCGGAGGAGAAAGGGAATGTGGAATATGTTTGAGAAGATCTGAAAACGAATTAGAGGCTTAGGGACCGTGTCAAAATTATCCTTTTTTGTGTACAGAAATAAAGTTATGTATTTTAAATATCTGTCAATTAAAAAAGGTTTGTACAGAAACAGATTCACAGACTTAGAGGATGAACTTATAGTTACCAGGGGAGACGTGTAGCTGGGGAGGGATAGTTAGGGAGCTTGGGATTGACATGTACACACTGCTCCATTTAAAATGTATAACCAGGAAGGACCTACTGTATAGCACAGGGAGCTCTGCTCAGTATTATGTAACAACCTAAATGGGAAAGAAATTTGAAAAAAAAAATACATATGTAGAAGTATAACTGAATCATTTTGCTGTACACCTGAAATTAATGTAATATACTTAACCAAAGATAAGTGAAGTCGCTCAGTCGTGTCCGACTCTTTGCGACTCTATGGACTGTAGCCTACCAGGCTCCTCCACCCATGGGATTTTCCAGGCAATTACACTGGAATCCACCCATGGGATTTTCCAGGCAATTACACTGGAATGGGTTGCCATTTCCTTCTCCAGGAGATCTTCCCAACCCAGGGATTGAACCCTGGTCTCCCTCATTGTAGGCAGACTCTACCGTCTGAGCCACCAGGGAAGTGAAATGAGGTAATCAAGGATACTCCACTTAAAAGCAAAGCAAAACAAGTTTGTAGTTCTAGGACAATACTACATATTATTTAGGTATAGATGAGACATTTTTTCATCAAGATTCATTAGATTTGGTTATATGATTATATGAAAATGATTTGTAAAGGGACAATTCGCCGTTGTTGTTGTTGTTGTTTAGTCACTAAATCATATCTGACTCTTTGCGACACCATGGAATGTAGCCCACCAGGCTCCTCTGTTCATGGGATTTCCCAGTCTAGAATACTGGAGTGGGTTGCCATCCCCTTCTCCAGCAGATCTTTGCGACCCAGTGATTAAACCCTCATCACCTGCATTGGCAGACAGTTCTTTACCACTGACCACCAGGGAAGCCCAAAAGGAAAAATTAGGGAGATCCAAAGGATGGGATGTAATTATGTTAATCATAAATTCTCAGTTTGAGAATATTACACAATCAATGTGATAAAGCAGCGCATGTAAAGGATGTANGAGAGGCAGGTTCCATCCCTGGGTTGGGAAGAGTCCCTGGAGGAGGACATAGCAACCCACTCCAGTGTTCTTGCATGGAGAATCCCCATGGACAGAGGAGCTTTGTGGGCTACAGTCCATGGGGTCACAAAGAGTCGGACACGACTGAGTGACTAAGCACACACACACACACAAATATCCTGTGAAGGGGTTCACAAACCATAGTATAAAAAAGGTCCATGGCACAAGTTTACAAACCCTTGGGAAAATACTCAAGGGGAAAAAGGCTTTTTTTTGCATGTACTGGGGAAAGTATATTTTAATTTTACTATATTTATTATTAAGAAATCTTAATTATTAAAGCAATTGTGTACTGCAAATAGGGGTCATCCTTGGCAATCAGTTGACCTGTTCATTTAGCCATTAAATGAATATTCATCAAACACTTATATGCCTGCCGTTATGCTGGATGTTATGCTCTAACAGATACTAGGAGAGTCTCGGCTGCCAGGGAACCCACAGTTTTAGAATGAGGGTAGGGACAGAGAGATAGGTAACTAGGAGGTGAACAGCCAGTTAGAATACAATATGAAACTGCTAAAATAGGGTGAACATGTAGAGTAGGAAAGCCTCCCCTGAGCGGACGACATGGCAACTGCACCATGAATGACCAGAAGGAGCTAGCTGGTCATGGCAATACAGTAAGAGAGAAACAATTATTATTGCCAGCAAGAAAATTCTGCTATGGGAACTGCAAGGGTTTGGATTCCTTTTGGTTGTGGGTGGGGAGAGGTAAGGGCGAGTGGCAAAGCTGATCTGTAGGGAGCCTATTTATCTGTCAAGGAGTTTTGAATTTAACTTAAGGTCAACGGACTTCCCTTGTGGCTCAGCTGGTAAAGAATCCGCCTGCAGTGTAGGAGACCTGGATTTGATCCTTGAGTTGGGAAGATCCCCTGGAGAAGGGAAAGGCTACCCACTCCAGTATTCTGGCCTGCAGAATGCCATGGACTGCATAGTCCATAGGGTCGCAGACTCAGACACAACTGAGCAACTTTCATCTTCAAGGTCAATGAGGAAAAGTGTTTAAACCCTTGGGGATGGGCATGGGTGAGGTGACTTGATCAGATTCACTTTTGAAAAGATCACTCTATAGGAAGAAATTTGGGATGCCTCAAGGGTAAGGCCACAGGCTGGCAAAAGATGGGAGTGGCCCGAACTGATGAGGTTCAGTTTAATTTTTTTGGCAAAGAGAATGGAGAGTGGTAGATGAATTCAAGAAATTTTGGTAAAAGTCACATGATTTTGTGGTTGTAAACTGTAAAAGTTGGTACCTTCATTAGCCTGCCTGACTATGCTGCCAGCCCATAGCTGAGCCTGTAACCCAGTCTTCCACTTCTCTCGATACAGGCATACCTCTGAGATATTGTGGGTTCAGTTTCAGAGCACTGTGATGAAGCAAGTCATGTGGATTTTTTTGGTTTCCCAGTGTGTTTAAAAGTTGCATCTTCCCTGGTGGTACAGTGGACAAGAATCTGCCTGCCAATGCAGGGGACACAGGTTCAGTCCCTGGTCTGGGAAGATTCCACAGGCCACAGAGCAACTGAGCCCAGGCGCCACAACTACTGAAGCCTGCACACTCTGTGGCCTGTGAGCCACAATTAATGAGCCCCTGTGTTCCAACTACTGAAGCCCACAAGCCTAGAGTTCGTGCTCCACAAGCCACTGCAATAAGCCTGTGTACTGCAACTAGAGAAAGGCTGTGTGCAGCAATGAAGACCTAGCACGGCCAAAAATAAATAAAGCAGTGTGTACATGTCAAAAAAAAAAGAAGAAATAAAAAATGTTACATCATTTCCCTGGCAACACAGTGGATAGGACTCCTAGCTTCCACTGCTGGGGGCCTGGGTTCCATCCCTGGTCAGAGAACTATTATCACACAAGCTGAGTGGCTTAGCCAAAAAAGAAAAACTAAAAGTTACTTCTACATGATGTTATAGTCTATTAAATGCAATAAATAACATTGCAAAGATTCTGTAGATAGAGGTCAGCAAAGAGTCGGACGAGGCTTAGCGACTAACACTTTCACTTTAAAGAAAGCTATGAAGAACCTAGAATTATAGTAAAAAGCAGAGACATGACTTTGTCAACAAAGGTCCATTTTGCTTTTTCTAGTAGCCATGTACCAGTGTGAGAGTGAACCATAAAGAAGGCTGAATGGTGAAAAATGGATGCTTTTGAACTGTGGTGCTGAAGAAGACTCTTGAGAGTCCCTTGGACTGCAAGGAGATCCAACCAGTCAATTCTGCATTGGGAGCGTGGAGTCTTAGCCACTGGACTGCCAGGGAAGTTCCGAGGACTGTCCATCTCTTGACTGGCTGACAAGCTTCCTTCCAGCTGTCACAGTGTCCTCTGGGGCCCGGTTCACAGTCTCCCTTTCTCAGTCCACTGCTGCTGCGTTCATTAGGGTGAACCTAGTGAAAGCAATGTCGAGCACGACTCTTCCTGCTCTGACACTAGGTGGATTGGTAAGGCCAGCAACCTCAGATTAGATTCTGGAAAATTCTGAAAAATACCAGAAAAGCTGTAGCAGATGAGATTATATGAGTTTGGTAAGGGTGAAGAAGGTGGGAATGAAACTGAGTGGAGGCCTGGGGGACGCCCAGGCCCGGAGGCCTTTCTGTCCCCCATTTTTTATGGGCAAGACTCCAACCTCCATGACCTTCCCTGAGTTCCAAAGGGTGGATCCCAACTATTCAAGAAGCAGTAGCTAGGAGACCACCTGAGGCAAGATTAAAGAGATCAGAGAAGTTCATCAAGATTAAGAGAGAAATTAAGGGACTGCCAGCCCAGCTCACACCATAATCTTGTCGGAGACCCCATCTTTGAGCCACTGCTATAAAACGCTTCCTCAGTCCTCTGGAATTGAGACACCTAGTTTTTCTAGGCAGGAGCCCGGTGTGTTCCTGTTTGCCTGGCAAAGGAATAAAGCTATCCTTTTCTGTTGTTGTTGTCCTGCTCTTTTGTGACCTCGTCGACTAAAGCCTGCCAGGCTCTGCTGTCTATGGGATTTCCCAGGCAAAAGCACTGGAGTGGGTTGCCATTTCCTTCTCTAGGGGATCTTCCTGACCCAGGGATCGAACCCTTATCTCCCGCATTGGCAGGCAGATCTTTTACCATACCACAGAGCCACTCTGATTTTATCTGGCTCTGGTGTACAGAGAGGCCACACTTGGGTAACAGGAATGGAACAGCAAACGCCTCTGGACTCGTCAAACACGAGTGAAACACGGCTCCCCTGGGACCTTCTTCCAGTGAATTCTCTTTGATGGCGACCACTGGGGCTTCAATTGCTGTGTAGTCTCCAGGGAGCAGCAGGCAACAAGAAACCCTCAGCCTCTCCAAGTCAGAGCCGTTCTCCTCGCTGACCTGACAAACACAGATGTCAAGTGGGCCCTGCGGGGGTTTGACAGTTTGTCCAAACAACTGTTTTCAGTTGAGGCTATCAGTCTCTTAGGAGAAGATTCATCTGCCTGGCTGTTCAATCGGCTGGCCAATATAAATTAGTCCGACCATCTTCTCAGAAAAGAATGCCTTTGGGGATTTTCAGTCGAGTGACTATTCAATATTCTGTCTTGTAGAATTACCGTCCACCTCCCCTGCCCCGTAGAATAATATTCAGACAGTTGGTTCCAGGGCTCTGGGAGAGCCAGGGGAAGAAAGTCTTAATCCCTTAGCAGGATTTGCTTGGCTCTCCCC